CATGTTGTCGGGTATACTAATAGATCACCCTATTATACTGCAGACATTGAAAAAATGTGCATTCTTTTTCTTTTTCATAAGACCTCCCCTAGTTCAGGCCCCGTCCCTCCAATGATCAGGACAGTTCTCTTTCCAGTTTCATCCCTCCAATGGATGAACAAAGGTCCAAAACAATTGCATAGAGAAAGCATTCTCATGTCAACAAACTGTGTTGGAAAAAATGGACATCCATGAGCCAAAAAAAGAAAAAGAAATCCACAACCAATGCTGGTGAGTTTATGGAGAAAAAGGAAAACTTTTATACAATTGATGGGAGTGTAAGTTAGTCCAAGCTTTGTTAAAGACAGTGTGGCAATTCCTCAAAGATCTAGAGGCAAAAATACCATTTGACCCAGCAATCCCATTGCTGGGTATATACTCAAAGTAATAGAAATCATTCCATTTTAAAGATACATGCGTATGCATGTTTATTACAGCACTATTCCAATACCAAAGACATGGAATCAACGTAAATGTCCATCAATGATAGATGGATAAAGAAAATGCGGTACATATACACCGTGGAATACTATGCAGCCATAAAAAGGAATGAGATTATATTCTTTGCAGGACATGGTTGAAGTTAGAAGCCATTATCCTCAGCAAACTAATCCAGAAACAGAAAACAAACACAGCATGTTCTCACTTATAAGTGGTAGCTGAATGATGAGAACACACGGGAACATGGGGAGAACAACACACACTGGGGCCTGTCAGAAGTGAGGGGTGAGAGGTGGGTGGAGGGAGAGCATCAGGAAGGATAGCTAATAGATGTTGGCCTTCATAACTAGGTGATGAGATGATCTGTGTAGCAAATCACCATGGCACATATTTACCTATGTAACAAACCTACACATCCTGCACATGTACCCCTGAACTTAAAAGTTGAAGAAAAAAATAAAAAATATTTTAAAAATCCATTTAAACCTCCATACTTGCACTACAATTAAATCAAAATTGATTACAGAACTGAATATAAACTGTAAAACTAGAAAATTTACAGTAGAAAACATAAAAGAAAATCTTCATGATATGGAGTTAGGCAAAGTATTCTTAGTTATAACATCAACAAAACTATTAAAGAAAACCTTGATCAATTTAACTTTATACAAATTAAAAATTATTGGTCAATACAAGACACTATTAACAGAATAAAAAGACAAGCTACAGATTGGGAGAAAAATGTGAAAATCACTAATATGAAAAATAACTTGTGTGATGGTGAATTGTGTGTATCACTGTGACGGAGCCCCAGGGTGCCAGGACAGTTGTTCCTATGTCATGTATGGCAAGTGGGTTCTGGATGATATTCCACTGGAATAGGCAGACTACGTGAAGCAAATTGCCCTCCCTAAGGTGAGTGGTCTCATCCAATCAACCAAAGGGCAGAGAAGTAAAAGGCCTAATAAGAAGAAAATACTTTCCGGGGTGTCTGACTTTCTGTCTTGGAAATTTTAGTCTCCAGAATCTCATGTTCAAATTTCTGTGTTTGTGTCTATACACACACACACACACACGTTTGTGTAAAAATGCCATATCCCTATATACACATATCCACATGTACATGCCATATACATATACATACATGTATATTAAAATATATGTATACACATACACACACACTTCGTAGGTAAGAAGATTGGATTGTATTTTGTAAAGCTCAGCCAGTCATTGATAATTGTTGAAGCTGGCCAATGATTATGGGGAAGATTCTGTCTCTTTTTTTATATCATTGAAGTTCTACATTTGAAGAAGTAGGACATACTAATAGCTGAATTTCTCTACATACACCTCAAAGCCCTAGGGATTAACAGAGCGTCAAAAATACCACCCATAATCCTGCCCCCAACCGGGGTTAGGAAACACTGTGGACCCCAGGTAATTTTATTTAGCTGGGTCTGGGAGCCACACAACAGCACAGGGAGCAGAAAACACTATGCAAATAGAGGACAGCAGAGCAGGGAGGGCCAGTTCATGACAGAATGCAGATAAAACCATTCTCATACAGTGAGTATGGAGAAACTCAGAACATGGCTGAGTCCTGGTGGATCAGAACCCTGCTACTGGGGAATTGAAAGGCAGAGGCTTCACAGTGCAGAAGACCAGAGGGGCCAATCATTGAAGGGAAGAATTACCGGGAGACCAAAAGCCCTGGACAAAGGAAGTAACCTCTGGAAACTTGTGGTGAAGAGAATGAACGAAGAAACTGGTAGAAATTAAAGGTCCTGGCAGAACAAAATAGAATCCCAGAATGAGAGCACACATGCCTGTCCCCAAAAGTAGACAATATTTCCTAAAATTGCAAGAAAAACTCATTTTTGGCAAGTACTCTAACTGCAGTGATGCTATCAATGTATCAAGACAGTGGGAAAAGTTCACTAAGCATGCAAAACTCAGTAAGACATGATTCCCTCATGAGGACTCTGTTAAGGATAAATTCCACTCAACAAATGATACTTGGGATACACTTTTGAACAGCTCATATACATTAACCTATATAATTGTAAATTTAAACCAAAAATCAAGGTGGGGACAGGTGGGACACATAGGCTGTCACTTTATGTTTAGGTTGAAATAATAAATAAGAAATGGCAGGTAAAGAGGTTAGAGAAGAGGAAAATAATGTATTTGATTGTCATAGTGGTACAATTTTGAAGTCGAAAGATATAATTTAAAATTTATAAACCAAATAGGAGAAGTGTGTCAAGTTAAAAGGGAATTAGTGATGTCAAAACCTTTTTAGTGCAATGTTAAACAGGAGCTATATAACCCTTCCTAAATAACAAACAAACGGCACACACATACCAAAAAACACAAAAAGAAAACTAATAACATCAACAAAGAAATACAGTAAATACAATCTACCACATATGGTAAATACAGACTAAAATATGGAAGAGTTTAGAATATAAACAGGGAAATAAGAATGTTTTTATTAATCTATATGCGTATCTGCTAAAACCAATCACAATAAAAGCTGAAAACATTCTATGTAGACAATCCACTATTACAGAGTAATAGGCAAAAGCAATTAGAATTAAACAGATTTAAAACTTACACATTTTAACTAATGGACAAACATTAATTTTGGAGAAAAGTTAAGACTGGGGCAGGAAAATCTTTTTCACAACAGAATGTCAGCAAAAACAAAGTAAAATTAATTTTGGATGAACGTTAAAATTTGGGCAGGGAATATTCTTTTTTGTAAAGAATGCCAGCAAAAACAAGTATATAGTAAAATTTTGAGATAGAAAAAAATTTTCAGGATTCATTGATTTTTTGAAGGGTTTTTGTGTCTCTATCTCTAGCTGTGCTCTGATCTTAGTTATTTCTTGTCTTCTGCTGGCTTTTGAATTTGTTTGATCTTGGTCCTCTAGTTCTTTTAATTGTGACAACAGGGTGTTGATTTCAGATCTTTCCTCATTTCTCATGTGGGCATTTATTTCTTTCTAGAGATTTCTTTCCCAGAGATTCTGGTATGTTGTGTCTTCATTCTCATTGGTTCCAAAGAACATCTTTATTTCTGCCTTCATTTCATTATTTATCCACTAGTCATTCAGGAGCAGGTTGATCAGTTTCCATGTAGTTGTGTGGTTTTGAGTGAATTTCTTAGTCCTGAGTTCTAATTTGATTGCACCGTGGTCTGAGAGACTGGTTGTTAAGATTTCCATTCTTTTGTATTTGCTGAGGAGTGATTTACTTCCAATTACGTAGTCAATTTTAGAATAAGTGCAATGTGGTGCTGAGAAGAATGTCTATTCTGTGGATTTGGGATGGAGAGTTCTGTAGATGTCTATTAGGTCTGCTTAGTCCAGATCTGAGTTCAAGTCCTGGGTATCTTTGTTAATTTTCTGTCTCGTTGATCTGTCTAATATTGACAGTCGAGTGCTAAAGTCTCCCACTATTATTGTGTGGGAGTCTAAGTCTCTTCATAGGCTATTAAGAACTTGTTTTATGTATCTGGGTGCTCCTGTATTGGGTGCATATATATTTAGGATCATTAGCTCTTCTTGTTGAATCGATCCCTTTACTATTATGTAATATCCTTCTTTGTCTCTTTTGGTCTTGTTGGTTTAAAGTCTGTTTTATGAGAGACTAGGATTGCTACCCCTGCTTTTTTTTGCTTTCCATTTGCTTGGTAAATCTTCCTCCACCCCTTTATTTTGAGTCTCTGTGTGTCTTTGCACATGAGATAGGTTTCCTGAATACAGCAAAGCAATGGTTTTCGACTCTTTATCCAGTTTGCCAGTCTGTGTCTTTTGCTTCGAGCATTTAGCCCCATCAAACTATTAACATTTAAGGTTAAATTAAATCTTAACATTTAAGGTTAACATTGTTATGTGTGAATTTGATCCTGCCATTTTATACTAGCTGGTTGCTTTTCCTGTTAGTTGATGCAGTTTCTTCAATGTGTCAATAGTCTTTACCATTTGGTATGTTTTTGCAATGGCTGGTACTGGTGTTCCTTTCCATGTTTAGTGCTTTCTTCAGGAGCACTTGTAAGGCAGGCCTGGTGGTGATACAATCTCTCAGGAATTCCTTGTCTATAAAGAATTTTACTTCTCCTTCTCATATGAAGCTTAGTTTGGCTGGATATGAAATCCTGGGTGCGATTCCTCAAGGATCTAGAAATAGAAATGCCATTTGACCCAGCAATCCCATTACTGGGTATATACCCAAAGGACTATAAATTGTCCTATTATAAAGACACATGCACATGTATGTTAATTGCCATACTGTTTACAACAGCAAAGATTTGGAACCAACCCAAATGTCCATCAATGATAAACTGGATAAAGCAAATGTGGCACATACACACCATCGAATAGTATGCAGCCATAAAAAAGGATGAGTTCATGTACTTTGCAGGGACATGGATGAAGCTAGAAATCATCATTCTCAGCAAACTGACACAAGAACAGAAAACTAAACGCCACATGTTCTCACTCATAAGTGGGTGTTGAACAGTGAGAACACATGGACACAGGGAGGGGATTATCACACACTGGGGCCTGTTGTGGGGTGAGGAGATAGTGGAAGGATAACAGGGGATGAGGGGATTGGGAGGGATAATATTAGGAGAAATACCTAATATAGAAGATGAGGGGATGGATGTAGCAAAACACCATGGCATGTGTATACCAATCTAACAATCCTGCATGACCTGCACATATACCGCAGAACTTGAAGTATAATAATAATAAAAAAGAAAATTTTCAATGTATAACCATAAGTATAATAGCTGACACAGGCAGGGGTGATTAATTAATGATAAAATGTTCAGAGAAAGATTGTTAGTATATAGGATATTTATACTGTTTCAAACCACTTTCCAAATTAATTATAAATAAGGTATCTTAACAAGCAACAGAACTCCTGGACCCCTCCTTAAGCAAGTGACCATCCTAGTATCACAATAATGAAGACTAAGATACTGGGCCTTCTTTGCCTGCAGATGGACTGGTAGGAAGCTCACAGCATGACTCTGCAGTGTTCCTGGCAAAATGTTTAGGCTGAATTTAATCATGAAGACATTTTGACTTCAGAATGTGGAGCTTTGAGCCAGACAGCAGACCTGTCCTCTACAAACAAGTCCATGTCACCACCATCAATGACAACAACCAAAAGAGGAAGAGATGTTTGGGGTTCAAAATGGCTAAAAATGCATAAGCTACATAGTCTTTTTGCTCTTTTTGAACCCAAAATGTCTCTCTGCTTCTTTGTTGTGTTCTTGGTGGTGACATGGACTGTTTGAAGGAGACAGGTCAGCTGTGCTGTTCAATGTTCTACATTCTGCAATTGTCTGAGGATTACCTCCTATGAAACTCAGGCTAAGCATTTTCAGCAAGAACATGGCATTGTTCATACTCTACCCTGGCAGAGTCCCAGGTGACATGCTGTCTCATCCCAGCAGCTCTGGACTTCTGTTCTCACAGGATGGGAATTGAGAGGAGCAGGGCTTAGGCCTGTCAATGCTGTGTGTCCATCTGGGAATTGGTCTCCCTAGGTACTGATCACAATTGGATGGGGATGGACCATGGCTTCTCAAATCAAAGGAGCCTGGTGGGTTGAAATCATCAAGAGCATTCTGTGGTCTAAAATTCTACCTTCAGCAAAGGATCCCTGCAGTGTTGTCGTGTTTGGACTTGAACTTGCTTTGCTGTTTTCCTTCTTTTCATCAAGTGCAAAAGGTACTTTTGTGACATCCTTTCATCTGTTGCATCCTTCTGGCAGCATTATGTATCTGTAGGGGAGATAGAGAAAAAAATAAAATGACAATTTGTGTCACGTCCTCCTGAAGGCTGAATCTGGAGGGATTGCTAAGTCGAGGGATGCTATTCAAGGGGCAAACCGATCTCCTTCTAGGGGCATGAGCTGACGGGTTAGCCTTGGGATGGTTGAATGGGGAAGTGTCATCCACAAGAGAAAAGAAAACACCCCGGAACTTCCCTGATCTTCTGATCAGCCTGGTTGCAGGACACAGGGACTCCACCTATGTCCAACTAGCAGCCGGGATCATTGGACTTTTTCCGCCTGATCCCCTTCGTCTGGAGAAGAATGATGGCTTTTCTTCCCAGTTAGGATGTGCTCAGCATCAATCATGCATGCTCAGACACAGAGGGATATAGAAGGAGAGGACCTTTTACAGAGAGATCCACTCCCTTACAACTCCATGACCCAGCCTTCTAGGGAGGAGTGGGAGGGCCATGGGAAGAGCTCTGGATATAAGAAGTAGCAGGAACCTCAGACAGCATCCATGACCACTTCCATCTTTTAAAACAGAGGAGTAGTGATGCCACTGGGATTCGATTGAACTAAGGCCACATGACTGTCTATTGACAACCCAGGAATTAGAAACTGCTAACTAAGGCCCTTTCAATAAAGATTAGAGGAAGCAAGAGGAAAGGCTCCAATCTGGAGGTCTCAACAGTCATGAGAGGCTGTTGGGTTACCTTGGCTAGGACAGAAATAAGGTTTCACAAAGAAATATGATGTCACTGCTGCTTGTTTGGTTGGTTAAAAATAAAAAAATAAAAATAAATATAAGTATTCTTCCAAAGGGGATCAGGAAAGAAAGAAAATTTTTTAAAAAGAGACTCAAAATGGAGTTAGCAAAGAGAGAGCAGGGACTGTAACCATGACCCAACTTAATTTCTCTACTGCCCTGAAGTTGATTCCACACCTAGCTATAGCTTAAGGCATTTCTGGAAATAGTAGTTTGTGTTTTACTACATTCTCCCCTCCCACATATTGTTTTTCCCAAGTATATTTTGGGAAAGGTTTCTTTTTTAACATTCTGTGCCAGTGTCAAGAGTGGCACAAAGAAGTATTCACATGCAATCTCTTGTGAAATTTCAGCCTTGATGCGTTATTGTCTTCTCTTCAGGACAGTGACACCTGTGAGGTCTCTTTGGTGGTTTGGTGGAAGGGCAACAATTGACCAAAGGTAAAATGTTCATATTGCAGCGATGAATCAATTAGTGGCTATAAATCAGTGTGGGGAAATGTAAGCTGGAAGTTTTACCTTAAAATGTGAAAGTCAATATAAATTCCCCTTTATGTAATATAGAAATATTACTTCCATACATTAGGTGTTAATGGAACGGCTATTTCTCACTTTATCTTGTATTCAAAACTGAGCAAGTGAGCTTCAAGCAGAGGTGAAAGGCCTAATCTATTAATTTTCTTGTTTTTCTTCTCGATTCTTTATATGCTGTAAAAACAGTACTGTTGAGAGCATAATACAGATCCTATCAAAGGCTAATGGATGCTCAGCCTTTTCTGTGGAGTAGCCACACATATAGGGCACTTCCATGTTGGTAACCTCAAGTCATAGTAGACCAATGGTCCTTCTCATCTTTAGCCACTTATTAGAATCACCTGGGAGGGTGAGAGGTTAGAACGATGAACCTCACGATGTATGCGGTTTTGAAGTCCTGCCCTCTGCATGTATTCTTGGAGTGTTTTTCCTTTAGAATGTCATAAATGTCCTCCAGTTAATGTCAGCTCAAATGAGTCCATGAGGTAAGAACGCAGAGTCCCTGGCAACTCCATCTACATTGGACAAGTGTGCATATCTGGGGCAAAAGACAAACCTGACTCCAGGCCAGTAGGGAATTCCCATCTGTGACCCACGTTCTAATTTAGTGTTCTAAGTGGGGCTCTTTTGCTCAGTTTTAACACTTCTCATTTAAGGAACAAGTGAAGATTAAGAGTTAACTCAGTTGGGATGTTTAAACGCCGACTCAAGAGGAAAACCTATGTGTAAATGATGTATTAAAGCAATGCTCCCTGCAGAAAGAGACAATGAAGTTGGGGATGCTGGGAGGAAAGGTAAATTTCCTAAGAGAGTGTGAAATGCTGGGTAAAGAACCCTGTGTTCAGCAGCTTAAACTATGCGCTTAGATGATGACAAGGAGCCCCAGCTTTCCTGTGGCCATGAGAGCAACTCTCACTATAGCAGAAGAAGAAATAGAGCAGAGTTCAGAGAGCAAAGAGGAGATGGGGACAGAAAGGGCCTTGCAGGGTGGGAGCCCATGGGACACAGAGATAAGACCGGATAGAAGTTACAGCAGCTGCTGGAGAGAACAAATGGAGGAGAAAAAGCAGTGGGAGAATGAGCCATCACCATAGACAGAAATAAGAAGTGAGTTCAGCCAAGAGTCATAGATTTGATTACCTCTGCACCCTAAGCGTGAAGATCAGGGAATCCACTTGCTGTACAATGGAAGTTTTCTTCTAATAATCTTTGGTTTCAGGACACTTGAGCATGAATGTGGCCAATGACTTGATGCTCTTATGTGTTGTCTGCTGAGCCTTCAATTGAATCACCTTCCAGCTGTGGAGCATTCTTCATCCCAAGGGAGGCTCTAAAACCAGCTCTGAAAATAAAACAACAGCCAATGGCATCTATGGGCATCCATGATCTTACTGTGACTTTCTCTTCCATCCAAAAGATATCAAATCAGGAATGTGGCTTTGGACAAGAAGTCCAAAGTATGAGAGGAAGCCAATAGAGTGACTTTAATATTTTCTTTTTTGTTGATCTTTCTTCCATTACTCAGTAAGGACAAGTTTGCCAGGAGGCAAAGGCACTCTGGATTCACAAAAATATTTAAGAAACACAGGATTAGGAAACAAAAATGACTTTCACATCGACGAGGCAAAATCAAGGAAATCCCCCTGTATGTAGTCTGTGCTTTGGGAGGGAAGAGATTAAAAAAATGAAAGTTAAATCAGAGCTGAATTCAAACAGGAGATGGGGATGGAAGGGCCTGGCAGGGTGGCAGCCCTTGGGACACAGAGGTGAGACCAGGCAGATGTTACAGCAGCTGATAAGAAAAGGACCAGGGAAGACTAAACCTGGAGAATTTACAAAAGTTGCATCATTATATGATCTATTGATATATATATATATATATATATATATATATACACACCCTATGTGGCATACACACCAAATATACATAATACATATCACAAATGACAACAATGTATATATCTGTACATATTAGTCTAATAAAAAATTATAAAGAGATTTGGATGATATTGAATGTAACACTATCATATTCTGGGTACATTGAAATTGGAAAAAACATTAGAAAATGAGAAGAACGAGAAAGAAAAGGTGTGGGAGAAACAAATGACCTATTAGACAGCAGGAGAAATCACCAGGTGAAGGAAAACGTGAATGAGTCAAAAGCATTCACTGTCCTCTTACCTGGAGCTTGGTTCAGGTCTGGACTCCAGGGAAAGTGAGTAAGAGAGAGAGTGTCTGAGACACTTGGGTGTCTTGGCTGGGGTGTGAGAATCCATAGGGAAGCAAAGGAGATTCCAGTGGGAAGAAAGCAGTTTAAATAAGTTATCACGGCATGTGTCAGGGACTGTGCATCCCCCGACAACTACTGAGCACCTTGCATGTGTCCTCTCCAGGGACCCAGATAGTGCTCGTTACCTCATGTGACCCTCCCTCCTCCTGAAAACAAGGGTTCCCTCAGTCATCAGCTGAAGGCATCGCTTGACATATGAGCACCAGGTAGCCCCAGGGGCTCAAGGAGGAGATATTGAGTGGAACAGAGAGTGAGAATGAACAGGAAACAGGGTTTTAAGGAAATCTGAGCCGAAGTGGATCCCTGTGAGAAAAATAAAAGGATTAGATAACACCTATTCATAGGTCTATTGGGCGATTCTTACTGAATCAGGCCCTTTGAAAAGTATAATAATATTCTCAACAACGATGACAGGTAGATATTACTTTTCAGGTATCTCTGATGAGGCAACAGAGATTTAAATACCAAAAAGACAAAAACCTTGGCCAAAGTGAAAAAGCAGAAAGCAGCAAACCCAGGAGCTCAGAGCAAATTAGATCCTAAGCCCCAGACTCTTGCTCACCTCATTGGGTTGGAGAATCGTGGATTTCAACTTGAACCTGAGGGGTCATGGAGAGGCCCCATTCTCTCCTTCACCCATAGCACCATGACCAACACCTGGAGTATAAAGCTTTCAATTTCCCTTTCCTTCCTTACCTTGGAAGGTCCACTGGTTCTCAGAATCAGCCTTGGCCTTGAAGCTGCAGGTGGTAGAGGAATGGCTCCTTCTGACTGAGCCATTCCCACAGTTGAACCCTTGATCCAGCTGTAGTCGCAGACAATTGGGTACCAGGGTTCTTGCTGCAGCTGTGCCTGTGAAGCCTGCATCTCTGACAGGTGGTCGCTCAAGTCTCAACTCTAATTCCTTTAGGCACAGGCCGCCTGGGTGGAAGCTAACAGCAGAAGGGGCTTCAGTAGGAATAATCTGTTTTCCCTTTGTTAAGAACACCGAGAACGGGTACCCATCCCTGATGTCCTGCCTCTCAGTAAAGCCACTCAGTGACCTGGGCCACACAGACAGACATCATGTAAATGTAGGTGATGTCACTATTGCTGTCTGTGCCTGGGGATGCTGACAGGGTAGGTGCTCAGACTGGGGTGTCCCTGAAGTGAAAAACCCCTTCTCAGCCCAGAGGACTCTGGATTGTCTAACAAGGTCATGGTGATCATTCTGTTATTATTCATCTCTTTCTTGTGGTCCAGAAGGAAAGTTCTAGACAGCTCTCAGAGCATAGGAGACTAGGAGCTGTTCTCCACACACAGGGGCATAAGAGCAAGGCAAGAGTTTGAGCTGTGAGGCTTTGAGAAAGAACCAGGAAAAGGGGGGCTGGGATTATACAGACAAAATACAAAGAGTGACAAACTTTTCAGGGTTCTGGGATGTTTTGAATTTCCTTTGCCCAAAATGGTTTAACCCCCTCTCCACATCCTCATTCTCCACAAGGTTTCTCTAAGTTTTCTTAAAAATACCTCCACATGTTAGTTCTCTTTCATCTTTCTGAGAACACACTGTATTAGACTCTCATCACTGATACCTGGCTTCAGACAGCCTCCCTCTCTGCTTTCTCTGATTGTGCCATCTCCACTCTAGCAATTGTTTTAGCAGTTTTATCGCCCCAAAGCCCAGTTCTTTCCATGTTTATACTCTGCATCTGAATACTTTCTCTCCACCTTCTACTACGTGACTGTCCCACTCACCCTGCCTCTGTGTTCCTTGTAACTTCTGCCCCATGATTCTATGCAGCATTGCCTCCCACCAATCGCTCATACAGATTCTCCCCTGGAGCCATGCTGGCCCCTCCATGGCCCGGCCCTGCCCTGCCTCAGGTACCATCCAGCTTCATGGTCTTCGTCCAGGAGTCCTTCTCTCAGCCTGGTGAGGCCTCCCTAGTTGCTCAGGGCACACTTCACTAATCATTAACCATAAGCCACTTAGGACACTCTAATATTTTAAGATAGTTCATATTGGGAAAAGAGAAAAACATCCTGAAATGACAAATCTGGCTGATGAAGACTGGGGAAACACAACTCTCCCTATCTGATTCTCTGCACTTGCTATTTAAAGTCAAGCTATGGGAATGTTTTTAATTATCACTTAATTTATGTCACTTTTTCCCTCTTTTCTAAACTGCTGATTCTTATTAAACTTATACTTTATTCTTTGCAATTGCAGGAGTGAAGGAACAACAGTTTTTCAAACTTATGAATTACTGTAGTATTGTTCTTTGGGCAGGTGGGGGAAAGCCATCGATGAGAGCAAGTGATAATTTAGGTTGTATTCTCCCTGATTCTACCAAGTCCCTCTGTAGGGATAGGATGGGTGGGGTAGATCGCCTTTGACACAGCTGCCAGGGTCAGGGCTATGCACTGTGCACTCTATTGACACATTATTGTCAGACCCCTGGACACACTATTCACACATTATTGTCACAAAGCCACACACAGAATGCTTCCTTGTGTAATTCAAAGGGTGCATTCATTCATCTCAGCCCATCTGCGAGGATGAATGTGGCTGCTCCTGGCCCACATTCCTGGTGCCCTGGTAGGGCCGACCCATATCACAGGCATCTGACTTCTGAGGCACATGTCTGTGCATTCCCCTTGCTTCTCATGGGAGCCTGTCCTGGCTTGGGTGTTCCTGAGATGGAGCCCCACAGCTTTACAGGGGCTCAAGATTTCCAAAATGAGAGTCGAAACCCCGAAGGCAGGGGTTGGCTAGGGACTAGGACCTTTCATCCCCTGAGTGATTTTCCAGGGAGAGCCTGTGGGAGCTGTAGGTCCCCCTGGAGGGACTGGAGGAACTACTGATTCCACTCACAGACAAAGAACACAGACGTAATCCTTCTTGAGAAATCTGTGCCAGTGGCTACCGGAGTTCTTTATATCAGAACAGCAATTTTTTTCTGTTTCAACTTAAATTATTCCAAAATAATTTCAACAATAAAAAAAAAGGTGAGCACACATCTTGGTTCAGTCCCTGACAGGTCCCTCCACAGAGAAATGACAGTGACTGGGCCATGGAGTCAGGCAGACATGGGGCTTACATTCCAACCAGGACTAGTCAGGGCATCCTGGGCAAGTGAAGGAAACTTTCCAAGCCTCAGCATCTTCAGCTCTCACAGGGGCCACTGCCCACTTGAGAGTGTCCTTTGAGCACTGAATGGGTTATAGCAGGACAGAGCTTCTTTGGCAAGAAGCAGGGAAGACAGCAGATGCAAGGTCAACGTGTATTTTACTTCTGATTAATGAATTGCTGTGATTCTAGGAAAGAATTTCCTTCTTTGAAACTCATGGAGAAATGGAAAATGGGAAAGGGAATGGTCTCAACAGAAAATGCACTTACTGAACAAAATAAGCTAAAGGCCAACATTTTTGTAGGTAGTTTTTGTTTTTTCTTTCTTTCTTTCTTTCTTTTTTTTTTTTTTGAGACAGAGTCTTGCTTTGTTGCTCAGGCTGGAGTGCAGTGGTGAAATCACAGCTCACTGCAGCCTCAACTTCCCAGGCTCAGGTGATTCTTCCACCTCAGCCTCCCACATAGCTGGGACTATAGGTGTGTGTCATCAAGCCCTGCTAATTTTTTGTAGAGACAGGGTTTTATCATATTGCTCACTCTGGTATCAAGCTCCTGAGCTCAAGCAATCCAACTGCCTCTCAAAGTGGTGGAATTATAGGCATGAACCACCGTACCTGGCATTGTTGCTAAGTAATTACCACATAATCAGATATACTGGGGGACATCACAGAGTTACCTCATCTACTAGAAAATAAGTTGATTGATTAAACTCCCAACAATCCACATGAAACTCCTAGAACGGAAGTTAAAAAAATAAAATAAGCAAGAAGAAGTGAAAATTGGAATTTTTCTCTATGCATCCCATGAAGCTGCTATCACAAGGGGCACTTGCTCAGAGAAAGGATTTTCTGGACCTCATGGGAACAGGAATCACTGTTTTGCTCATCAGTTAGGCCAGCACTTATCAGAGACACTAGTTGTCAATGGTTTTCGTGAAAATATAGCACTAACCTGTGATTGAAACTACCAACCCACACATGGAAAAAACCACTGGAACTTTGCAGAGGATGCAACCCTGGCCATACGTAAAGGAAGGGATGCTGGACTGCGTCAGTGGAGGGAAGACACCTCAGAGGAAGTAGATTCGCAGTCCCCAATCTTTTTGGCATCAGGGTCCAGTTTCATGGAAGACAATTTTTCAGGGACAAGTGTAGGGGGTAGCCAAGTACAATCCCCTCAGAGAGATACAATAATCCTTCCCTGTCTTGAGCAGGAGACATAGCAGCAGGTGCTCAGTGAACTGGGCAGACCATGAGCTGGGCAGGAAAGAGATGGAGGGATCCCTGTGAGAAACTGCCAGGACACAGTGCATTCAGCACTTTTGCTTATATCTTGTTGAGATTACCATCAATGGCCAAGTGAATATAGGCTCTGGAGGCTTCACTAAGAGAATTACTGTGTCCTTAACATCTATAGTCCTCAACATTATGAGCATGACATGCAGTTTTTTTTTTTTTTTAGCCGAGATTGTGTCTCTGCACTCCAGTCTGGGTGATAGAACCAGACCTGGCATAAGAAAAAAAAAAAGATAGATTATATTTTTTTACTTTCCTGCTATCAAATACTTGTGAATATGGTAATGCCAAAGAGGCAGACATCAGAAGTGTGCCTTAGCTTCACTTTAAGCAAAAAGGACAGAAAAAGGGACTGCAGAAAATGTATGTGGCTGATCAGTTCAACAGAGTCAACTGAATACAGATTAGTACAACTGAACAGAATTAATAAGGAACAAATACAAATATAGGTGTACAATGAAAAGAGTCAACATTATGAATGTGGCTATTTCATGGTTGGCTGAACAGACGGAACAGGTATATTCAGCACACTCTGATTTTTGCTGCATCTGAGTCTCCAGATATCAACACTGAATTAATTAACTGTCCATGATTCCTCAGAGTTACCTGGGGCATGCTGGGTCTTGGTCTTCTGCTCCCTCTTGATCCTTTTTAATTTCTGTGAATAAATTCAGACAGGCATAGACACATTAAGCACGTTCCCCTACACACATAAACAATCCACTGTGCAATCCTAACATAGGAACATCAGTTTCCTCAGTGGGAGAACAGGACACTGTGAGAGAAAGATTCCAGGGGACCTGAGATCCTGTCATGATAGAGAAGCCTTGGTTTTCTTCCCTGAGCCTAAGAATAAAATCTCCCTCTACTGGTAGATTATTATTCCAACATCATCTGTCCTGATTTTGTGCAGTTATGCAAATTTTTCACACCAATTCAAAGTAATTACCCCAACTTCTTTCTAGATAGACAACTGCAATATTCAGCCTTCTGTCATCAACTACCAACATTGCTCATGGTTGCAAGGATTTTAGACAATGAAAGAGAGACTCTACAGACCCTTGGATCAAGATGAATCTATGGTGCTACAAAGAGCCATTGGCTATTTGTGGCATCTTGGAGTGACAAGGCCCAGTCTTGTTTCTAAAATCATAATGAAAGCTAATGCACTGCTCAGCTAAAAAGGCCAATATCTACGACACAGAATGAGGCTAGATTAATTGAAACCTGGGTAATATCTTTAACAGAAAGGTAGACACAAATGCTACTGGCCTTGGGCAGGCATAGAAACTCAAGGGACACGGTTGGGGAAAGACACTTGTAAGGAACACAATAGCTGCTGGCAAGACAAATGTTATTCAGATTAAGAGGTCTGACAGACACCTGTTGGGCATGCGCTGCATAGGTTGCTGTGAATTTGTCTGTGTCGTGACAGTGGGCCCAAGGTGACACAGTATGGTCTGAGACGAGGAAGAGAGCAAAGCTCACTGACCCACCCCATGTCTGTGCTTCCAACTTCATTTTCAATTCCGATGCAAATTATCCTGTGTCTGTGAGTCATGCCCACACCAA